TCCATACGTGACCGTAGAAATCTCAGAATTTTATGCATGCTTTTCAGTGTTCTATACGATCCACGTGCCCCAGAATACTTGAAATCTAGGTTTCAGTTTCTGGGTCCCTCCAGACCACGTGATCTTCGCTCTTGCAGGCACCTTATCCTCAAAACTATTTTTCACCATTCTGGGTTCGTTTCCAAATCTTTCGCCATCACAGCTATACGTCTTTGGAATGCTTTGCCACTGAATATTCGCAGTGCACGTAATAAGTTACAATTCAAAAAACTAGTGCGTGCTCACTATCTGTCAACCTAATTTTCCTCTTAATCTGTAGTCATCTATATATGATTATATTTATTTTATTTTTACTAATTTAGTGTATGTATGTTTATTTATGTATTTATTTATAAATATATATATATATTTATGAATATATATGTGTATTTTATATTTATTGTTGTTATAGAATAGTTAGGTATAGTGGATAGTTTTTATGATCCACACTAAGTAGCTCATATTCTATCGCCATTACATTTTATCTCCTACACCTTTACTGGTTGACTGGTAGAGAATGCCTATGGCATTAAGTTAACCATTTACTGTTTTTATGGTAATAAAGAATAAATAAATAAATAGATGGTTAATAAATCAGCTTCAAAATTGCGTTTGCTCAATGCTACTTTATTTTTTGCTAGGGCCTGATAATTTAAAACTTAAATGCTAGGTGGGCCAATAGATATTTCTGGGAGTAAGTAAGCCATAGTGATAAACGATCTCAACTACACTCCACTTAACATAAACGATCAGATAAAAAATCAAAACAATGATGATCCACAGAAAAAAAATCAAGAATGGAAGAAGAAAGTACTTCACGGCCGGTACCCTCATGACCTAGAGCAGTCCCATATAACCAAGTATGTAGCATCGAATAAGTGGCTAAAAATAGGAAATTTGTTCCCTGAAACAGAAGGCTCATAAATATACAAGTTCAAATCATCAAACTGCATAAAAAATCTAAATCCTGTCCTGATAAGTTAATACTAAAAACAACCTATCTACGATATAGGAATTTCTGTAGTAAAATTTTAAAAAGGGATATAAAAAAATTATGAAAATCAGCTTGTTCAACAGGTTGGAAATGAGAGCAAGAAGTTATGGAATACTTTATAAGAAGTTATGGAATACTTTATAAGTATTCCATAACTTCTTACGGATATAACAAATACTTCTAAAGATACTTCTTTTCCGAAAAAAATACTTGAAGAAGCAGACTGCCCACAAAGTTCAGGAAATAAAATTACTTATTTTGTAGATGTAGGCAAAATCTCACAGAAAAGTTTGTAACAACATCAGGTCTTACTGGGAATGAAGTCAATCCTGCAAAGTAGATTGGAACACCTTGATTCTTTTATCTGGTAAAGATATACTGGTACCTCACCTGACATATATCTTTAATCAATGTTCGTCAAAGGGCATTTATCCAAAATCTTAAAAAAAAACAAAAATTCTCCCAACTCATAAGGGAGTAGGGGATAGAGACTGTATCGGAAACTATCGGCCTGTAGCAATTCTTCTGGCTATTTCCAAAATACTTGAAAAAATAATAAATAGTAGGCTGATTCACTATCTGGATACTAAATTTGTTATCTGAACATCAATATGAATTTCTTCGTGACAGATCGACAAATGATGCTGTTAATAAACCTTACAAATTTTGATAAATCTTTATCAGTATTTTTGGACTAAGCAGAGGATTAGAGAGGAGGATAGATCGAAGTAAACTCGAAAATTTTGAATTAGAAGCACACAACTAGCACTTTTTGCCGATTACCTAAAATATAGAAGAAAGTTTGTTAAGGTCGGTTCCTACAGCAGCGCTCATCTTCCAATAACATATAGCGTGCCTCAAGAGAGTATCTTAGAACCCACCCTCATTCTCATTTGTATTAATAGATTTCTGTGTATTGACAATATTCAAGGAAAAGTGATTTCGTATGCTGATGGCGTCGCACTATTTTCACTGCCAACACTGAGTGAACTGTCAATAATTGACATAGAAAAAGGCAAACATGAGTACTACGTAAAAAATAAATGAATTTTGGGGCGAAAGCGTAAAAGCGAATGAAGTATAAGGCTATGTGAAAAAGCACCCTAATTTTGAATCTAAAATCCTCACATCAGAATATCTGCTTTTATACCATCTGAAAGAAGAGATTTTAAGAAACAAGAAACACACCAACTTTTTTTAAAAAAGCAGATATTTTGACGTGATAATTTTCGATTGAAAATTAGGGTGCTTTTTTGATATTAAATCAAAATAAGGTGAAAAAATGAATATTTTAAATCAAAAAAATTACTGTATGTTTGGGACATACAAAGGTAAGTTTTCACTAAATTTCGTGAAAAATTTTTTTTTGCAAATATAAAAATAAAAAACAAAATCTCGGATATTCGAATTTTTCACATAAATTTTGAGGTTATGTGAAAAAAGTGTCGATACAAAAGTTGTAGATCTTTTTATTAGCTACAACTTAACCATTTAACTTTTTTTCATAGGACTTGCAGTTTTACCGGAAATCGAGATTAACCGTTTTTTACCCTTAAAAACTCACCCCCTCCCCCTTCCCGACCTCAGATCGCCCGTAATTTATTTTTCCTTTCAGTTTTGTTATATTCTCTACCTTTTCCAATGGGTTTCATCCTATTATATTTTTTTTTCACTTTTTACCATTTTTAAAATTATTGACCCTGGTTTATTAGAAGAATCCGTCTATATCAACTTATAGAAAGCTGCCATCATATACACCTGCGAAATAGTTAGGAAATTCATGCAATCGGAGGAAGAAAATATCCAAAAAAATATATTTTTTTCCTGAATCTTTGTGCCCGTGTTCGACATGAATTTGTCTTGTACTGTTAAAATTATGTATCATTAAAATATTCTTAAGCATTACCTATATTTCCATTAGATTTCGATAAATTGTAACAAATCCTTCTGACCTTTTTAACATTTTAATTGGTAAAACGAGACGACCTATTGATGGGTTGTAATTAGTTAGTGAGTAGATTGTTGTTACATTGATTTGGTACCTAATTCGTAAACAAACTTACAGGAGGTGAGAGAAGTTGCTTGGAAATTTGGGCCATGTTTTAATTTAGTTACTGGTTTACCATAGCTTGCCCGCAGTTCACAAATTCTATAGATTTTTTATATTCCTTATTTAAGTGACAAAGGCTCATCAATAGACTCATCAACACCCAGACCAATTTTATTTATTTTATCATCATGATATTATATGGATTGGATGGATGATCATGGATGAATACAATTTCAGAACTTTTGGAAGTGTAATATGACAAAAGTTATATAACATGTTATAATTACAATCAGTCGTTGGTACTCATCTAGATAAGTTATTAACGTATAGGTCCCTATTTCGTTATTTTCTTAAATTTAACCCTTTATGGGGCGCAAAGTAAAGTTTAAAAATAGAAAATGGTATCTATCGTTAAACTTAGAGAATAGCATTTATTATGAAGTTTATGAGTATAAGAAAAATATTGATTTTCCTAAAATTTACTCATTAGAATAGGGATACTTACAGTTAATCTCTGGCTAATTACCCATTTCATAATTGCAATCAGCTTTGTAGTTATAAGGCCTTTACCAATGTGGCACATACCTCCCTTTTCGACAGCTACATAATACTTATATGCAGCAGAAGATCCCAAACAGTGATATTGCGTACGGTATAATTGATCTTCATAGTGTACATAAAATTGTACTTTTTAAAACTGTGCTTCGTTATTTTCTGATTCCTGTGATTGTTTTCTGAAATATTTAATTGTTTGTTTGTCAAAAGCCTCCAAACAGGTCGTATATCAGTTAAAATATGTATATTTATAAAAATACTTACATAAGGTTATCGTGTCTTCAATGATTTTCTATAAAACATAGATATGTATTCATCTCGTATAGAAATCGAAAGCATAACACAACATATTTATCTTCACGTTTAATATCCACATTATATTTTTGGGTAGATATTCCGCAGCAAGAGCCCGCGGCTGATTTAAATCAGGACCGCGACAACAAACAAACAAATAAACTTCTTTACTTTGTAATAGCGGTGTTGATTTGTTAGAATTGCTATTTTGTGCGACTCATGAGTTCTACTGTTTCGCCCACATAATCGTAAATTCTATCATGACGAAGAATTTTATTTACATGTATTAAGTGTAATCATTGGATTTGAAATAAAAAATAACACTTAGGTTACACTGAAATATCATTCGAACGTTAATGAAATTACCTACCTACTACAAAAACGTTCAGACATTTACATAATAATCATACAATATCCTGCAGGGCATATATTATTATAACAACGAGAAAATCTGGAATTGTGAATCTCGGAAAGACCCTCCCCTCCATATTTTCGTTGGTAAACAAACCTTTCTTAAAAAAGATCTTTCAGTGAGCAAAAGGCTATATTCGTGTCTATTATGCTGTAATAAATTCAATTGTACGTAACAGCTAAGGACGTTTTCAAGAGTTTTGCACCTTTATTTTGTCTATCAAGTACGATAATATACTTGCCTTCAAGGGTCTTTGATAGAGAAAAGTTACTTTACTCGGTCGTAGGTTGCGATTCTAAAGGACTCCACAACTTTCCTTCGAAAGCTTCTTAAGTTCTTTGTGAGTAACCGAGTTTGAGATAGATGAATAAGTTTATAAGACAAACATACGAGTACATTACTTAGATTTCTCAAGGGTTTTAGCTCAACTATTTATATATTTCGAAAAATCAAAACCAACGAAGTTGCTCAAATCCACTTATACTCGGGACAATCTCAATAAATTTCTATTCTATTTCGATCTCATCGGGAACTGATGTCAGGTCTTCATAGATAGCAAAAGTCCAAGTCCAACGTTCGCGTATTGGCTACGAACCAAGATCGTTAAATGTTTGAACTGAATTTGAGATAGTTTGTACTATTTTTGATAATTTTACCTGAAGGTTGTGGTAGAACCATAGAGAACCGACGACTGATATGGAGAACCAGAGGAACAGTGTGAAGACGGACACATGGCTGAGATGTAAAGCATTCAGCAGGGTTGACAACACCACTGCCAGCGCGTGGCACAGCACTATCGGCAGCGCGCAGCGGTCGATTATGTCCCACGGCACCTCCTGTGAAGCAATAGTAATTATTATCATAATTACATCCAGAAAAACATTACGCTGTTCTAGGAGGAAAAGGAAAACAGAATAGGTACGCCAGATGCAACATTTCCCAAGCAGACAGTAAAAGTTTTTTAGCAGCCGACGGGGTAACTACGGAAGCTGTTGTAGGCGTATTGTATTCTTTCATTTCTCTACGGTTACGGTAATGTTGTTGCTTAGACAACTGTGCTACAATATGCCTACATTCAATAATGAAGGCACATAGTAGCATAGTTGTACAAAATAGTATTCACTCGGATTGCCGCGTTGGGAAGTAACCTCCAGTTTAGTCTGTGCATTCGTGGTGGATAAGGTTGCTAGAGACCTACGGCAACAGGTTTGTGGATTGTGTTCAGGCAGAAAAGGTAAGATAGCAGGAGAGGTACGTTTTTCTGTCGCGTCCGCTATCGTCGCAATTAGATTTCACACTTAACAACAAGTATTAAGAAATTTTGTTACCCTGTTTATATAATGCTCAATAGCTAGATACTGATAGAGTCCACACAGAAGCTAGACTAGATCATTTGTTTAGATAAAATGGTGCAATTAAAACTCCGTAAGGATTAACTTTCAGCGACATAACAGTTATTTGTTTTAATTTATGTATAGAAAAGTTCAAATGCCTAATCAAAAACTTCAACATGTTTATGTACCAATATCAATATTATTTATTTTAGGAATCGCGTATTGGCTGTTATGAAGATGATCTATGTGTTATTGGTAAATATTCTTTGATCTCTAGCAAACAAATTCGTTGCCTGCAAAATACTTGGGCTTTTTGCAATACTTATGATTAAAATAAATGATGACAAAAATGCTGTTCTCAAAGTGCTGCCGTTATTAAAGTTTTTTAGTTTATTTTTGACAACGAATTTTTCCTATCGAGAAGTTACGATAAATTAATGACATGGTATATTATAAATTCTTTCAAGGCAATGATAACGGGCCAATCGGCAAATATTGTGATTCTAGTATTCTGCTGATAATTTATAGGATAAAAACTATCACATGTCCTTTCCCGGGATTTAAACTCTATATCAAATTTTATGTAAATTAGTTTAGTAGTTTAAATGTGAAAAGGTAACAGACAGAAATACAAACAGACACACTTTCGCATTTATATTATTAGTATGGATGAAAATACATTACGAGAAACTTATACACCGCCAATTTTCAGTTACCTGAGAAATTTAACTAGCTATATTTTTCGAAAAATCTCTCTACGTTAACTCACTAAATTTGCAATTATGAAACCTTAACTATTTTATCTATACTAATATTATAAACAGGAAAGATTTATTGTTTTTTTCTTTGTTTGTATTGAATAGGCTCCATAACTACTGGACCGATTTGAAAATATCTTTTACATTTAGAATCCTACATTATCCCTAGTGAACATAGGCTATAGAGTAGTTTCAAAAAAGTTAGGGTTTCGTATGAGAACTTAGATAATGCAACCCAACGTGTGAAAAAAATACCAAAAATAACCTTCCATCGCGTACGCTGCGGAAGTCATTGGCAATACAGCAAAATGATGTCCTAAAGTTTTATTGGGGATAAAATATCCAAAAAAAAGTCCGAATACCATATGTCTAACTATTACAGTTTTGTCACAACTAGAGGTTCCCTGCGGTTGCACCCAAGTTATTCTGAGGGAAAAGGTTATATGGAGTCAAACTGGATGGACATTTATCCTGACGTGGACTTTTTTAGAACTCTCAAAGGGAAACAATTCCGTAATAAATGATTTTCAATACATGATTTTACTGTTGCTTTAACCGTTTACGCACGGAAGCTCGTAAATTGAACAGTTTTACCCGTTTTTGGAACATTTTTCATCCATGCTCCGCTCCTACTGGTCGTAGCGTGTATATAGCCTTTAGCAGTATAGTCTAAACCGAAGCGAAGCGAGGGCGAGCCTCTAGTATGTTATAAATTGATTCAAATAAACCTTCTTTTAGGATCTACGTACTTTAAATGGATAATAATTCAATAATCCATACCTATGTTATTTACAAATATACCTACGCACAATTTCTATTTACTAAATTTTTATGTTCCTCAGGTAACTCAAAATTCACGGCGTATATTTAGTTAGGGTGTAAGAAACTGTTCTTTTTATTATTTTCAACGCACTTATGTAATTTTCTTTTAAGTGGGACCCAGAAACACGCTGTCGGTGAATAATTCTACTACTGAATGGATTCGGATGAAAGGACATTGTTCTGCGTCCATACATTGTTAGCCTAAGAACCCACAATCATGAAATATTATTTTCTAGGTTCGAAATTGCAAGTAAATGACTGTAAAAACAAAGATTATTGACGGATACTTCTGAGAACTTAAATTATCAGGCAAAGTAAATATTTTTTGAGGTTATGTTTATATTAAATGAAACATTGGTCAACCTATGAACTTAGTATGAACTCAGTATGAAGTGAATTAATATTACAACTAATTCATTTTTATTCGGTGTGGTTTTAAAGAATAACTATTAGGAAAAACTTGGTTAGGTAGAAATAAAATAAAATATTGTATCATATTGTATATTGTATTTATTTGTATATCACAATATGTATATTGTGTATGCAGCGTGAATGTGTATCAGGGGCTCTTGAATAATTTGGCAGTACGATCCCCTCAGGATGTTGTGGCACAGATTCACTAGCACTTGGTAATAAGGTCTCTGCTCTTTGGTAACATCGATGGCATATTAGATAGCCGAAATAGTCAAATTAATGGAAAAACAATCGCAAATAAACACATATAACAGATAATCCGAAACGAGAATGCACGAATGCCACATTTTACTACGAATGCAAACTGCCTGCACCACAACCACAGAGTATCGAGTTTAATGCCGGCCCTTCACTTGACAACAGTCTGTCCTTGTCATGCTTAATAAGGAACAAAAAGGACAGGCCGATATCAAGTTTTCAAATAGCAAACACGAATAGCCAAGTGAAGTGCCGGTATTAGGAAGAAATTATACACAAAAAATGGTAGAGGTTATTGTCTCAGATTATTTTTTAACTTTTATAATATAGGTTACTTAACTGGAAGTGTCCGTCACAATCTAAATACTGATAATTATCGCAAAAAATATACTCAGAATTATCATAAATGCCAAATTGGTGTTGGTTCTTAGGCTAAATTTAACATTGTCCTTTGGTAATTTGAGATCAATAGCGGCTGCCCGCTACGTTAACTTTAGTTTTTGGAGAATCACACAGAAACTTAATATTTTTCCGTGATAAAAAAGTATCTTATGTCTGAAACTAGGTCATAAACTAAATGCGTTTTTAGTAATATTAAAGAAAAATATTAAGTTTCTGTGTGATTCTCCAAAAACTAAAGTTAACGTAGCGGGCAGCCGCTATTGATCTCAAATTACTCCGAGTACTTGATAATATTTGCTCTACGATCTATTAAATCTTGAAAAGGGACAAATTAAATTATTAATTGCTTCATTTACCGATTGGTAATTCTATTTCAGATCGGATTGACTATAAATTTAATTGTATTATAATGGTATTAATATTATATTAATTTCAAGGAATTATTAATTATCAAGTTGAAAAGATAAGATTAATAATTATTATTTTGTTTTAAATGTATATACTATTTAATGTTGAATTAAATTTTATTTTGAACTGACATTGAGAATTGTAATTAATATTGACATAAATTTGAATTTAAAATATAATGATAAAATATTTGTTATTAAATGAATGATAGGTAAATTTAATATGACTGTTATGTTTTAATATATTAGATTTTTTTGCATGCTATTGATATGTCTAAATAGGTTTAAGATTCTTAGCTTTTAACATATGCTTTATATGCAAACACCTTTTTTCAACCCTATTTAATGCAAATAAAGATTATTCTATTCTAAAGTAATTTAACTAATGATCAAATAATAAAAAAAAATATGCAAAGTTATCATTTGTTGAACGCAAAAATCTCAATGCTGTGCTTCGGTTATGGTGTAAATGATGAAGTAGATTATTATATCTTTAATTATATTATTCTGTCAGTTCTTTCAAAATATTAGTTTCAATTACCAGACATCACTTGGTATTTGTGATTGTACAGTTTCAGATACATACGTACATAAGAAAGACTACTCGGTAAGACTACTGGGAACAGGGGGAAAAGTATTCATTTCCCCCTGTTTCCAGTAGTCTTACCGACCAAAATATTAATGACATAGGTGCAGCATTATTAACTATTTATTTAGTAGACGCCTTAATTTACTCTTAAAATAGTTAGAAGTAAATTTAACAAACCTAAAATTATTTGGATCATGCTTGTCAATAATAGCCTTTCTTCATAAATAAATACAGGTCAAGGATAATACTCTCTTTAGGGAGTAAAGCTATGAAAGGTTCACTTGTTGGAGACGTACAGTACTCCTTTGTTATGTTGTGAACAAAATATATGCGTTAGTTCATTCAAAAGTTTCATAAATAGATAATGAATGGCGCTCTTAAACGAGAGCAGTGCAGCAGCATCCAACAAAAACAGTACTCTTGCTATTAGCTGTGTTTAAATTCTCGGCAACAGGGGCATAAAAGCATTAAGAGCGGACACGAGCTGAGAGACATTTGAGAATAGGTATTTGTAAAAACTATTGCTGTCACACATTGGCAAATACCGTGAGATAGAGAGAACTTAACGCTGAAAATTGCATATAAAAATTGCAAAATTCGAGGTTTGGCTCTCGACGATTTCCTCGACGAAAATTTAAATAATGTAAAATAACTTTTACACACAGAATAATAAGTAGTTATACTATGCCTCTATGTTTTGATTTTTTTTGTAAATGCTTATTAAATTTCGATACTAGACGTCTTTAATGGTGATAAATATTTTTTTTATTTTCGAAGGTTTCTAGTTTCTTTGAAACACAAGTTACCGAAAAAAGGAAGACGAAGGAACATAGAATGAGTAAAATTATACTT